TAATTAATGAAGAAACTTTTCTTTATAAATTCTTTTCAATAATAGATTGCGTTCAGAACAAGGTTACGACGGCGATCACGAAGTTAATCCCATTGAAAATAATCTACAAGAAACGATTTCAAATCGCGAAGGTGCGAAAACGAACATGTGATATAACGATATAAGGTCTCAAAAGTGATTCTGATTCTACCGCTCATCAGTCAAGGCCGTCTCAACATAACGAAACAATATCGTCTTCCACAGCGCGAGTTGGCATCGGAACGTAAGAGAAAGTCCTTGCGTGTATCGCTATATCGTTATATCGTCTTCTTCACTCGACGCTTAAATCAGATTTCTGATGCATCGCTTGGAATGAAAGTTGCTGTATCGGTTAGCCGATATAGGCGTTAAATCGATATGTCGCGATATATCGATTTATAGCCCAGTCCTAGTTGGGGGAATACACCCGCCCCCCTCACCACCAACGACGCCCTTACATGAATTATGTTTTTGTATATTGCAATTTAATTAATAGTTTTCACCAAATAATTTTTCAGATAATTGAAGACGCCCCTTTTTGAACAATTATGATCGGTTCGCGAAATTCCGAATAGGGTAATCCAACCAGTGAAGGAACATTTCATATATATTGATTAAAAATAAGAATTTGAAAGTTTTTCTTTCGATTGATTGGTAATAATAGCTTACTGCTAAACAATAGGAAGTCATCTAGCAATGCTTTGGATTACCTGGTCAAATAGACTTCTCTGTAAAATTTTTCGAATTTGTTATTATCTCTGCAACACCTTGTTTCTTTGAAAAAATTATAAGGTGAGTGTTTGTATTTATATGTTTGAAGTGGAATTAATTGCATGCAACAGTTTTAATTTTCTCTCTATGTAAAAGAGAATTCAAAATATAGTTTTTGAAATTACGTTTTATTTTTTTAAGCATCATTGCATAATAAGATAAGGGGGTACTGAGATAAGGGGGTGTTTATTCACTGGATCACCAAACGATGAAAAACCAGTGAAGGAACAAATGTTCCTTTACTGGGTTTTTTTCTAAGTTAATGAAAATTAAAGATAAACTTTAATTTTCTTGTACCTTTAGTGATGTTCCGCATCAAAAGTATGTTAAAAATACGAAAAACAACTTCTGACCAGTGAGGGAACAGGCATGTTCCTTTACTAGGCATAGATTTCCCAGTGAATGAACAGTATGTGTAATATGTTGACACTTTAATTTTCAATTCATGATTACAAAAAAAAAAAAAAATACATTTTCCAAGTATTTATATGTTATAATTTCAAGAATAGGCTTGTTTTTAAATATTTGCATGGCTTATAAATTTATAAAGAGCATTTACCTTTTGGGGACGGGTGATTCAGAAAAGCATTCGTACAAAACCAGAATGAAGATGTAATTAAATAAAAAACGGTAACTTAAATGCAGTCGTTGCTAATTTGACAGACTTACTTTGCTTTTACTTTAATTATTGTTAGTTTAATCATATATATAATCAATGTTAATTCAAAGTATAACTAAACAGTTTTATTTTGAACAAAGTAATGGTGAATTAAATAAATCAAACAATTATAACACCGCCCACAAATAAACTGCTAAAGAAATACTTTGATAACCACTTTTATCTTTTTACCCTGATTGATACGGTTTCATGCTGGCACGTATTTGTGACAGTCGGCGCGAAAGGGTTAAAAAATAACCAAAATTAAGTGTTCCTTTACTGGGTGTTCATTCACTGGTAAGAGCTGTTCCTTCACTTGGTCTTCTTACTACTTGTTATTTGAACCTCCAAAACTTTAAAACAATATTATGTAAGTTCTCTACAATTTTTTTTACATAATTTGCAATTAGTAACAAATATGTCGACGCTGTCATTTAACTAAAATTACGAATTTTGAAATTGATATGATTTTTTAAAAGGCAAGCGAAGCTTAAGTGTTCCTTCTCATGTTAGTTTACCCTACTAGGACAAAAGTTATTTAATGTGATGTCGTTTTCATTTTGCGCTCTGTACATTAAGGTTAGTAAGGTAGTAAGGATCATAAATTGTTTTACCTGTAAATGAAATGAAATATATTGTGTTAAACAAATAATTAAGTCCGTATGTTCTAAGTCACCAAATCAAAACACCTTTTCAATTCACAATTAAAAAATATCTTTTAATTACAATGCATAATTGAATTATGATAATTAATTTACAATTGTAGAACGCATTCTATATGGATCTCTTCCTTGTATAAACCATAATGTGACACTTAAAACAATTGTAGGTATGACAAGACTACTGACAAACACAGTGCTTGGAAATATGCCCTAGAAAAAATAGACAACGATTAAATAACATACAGCAATTACGAGTATTTTCTTTTTTTAAATAAGGGCCCCAACGTTGTGCACACTAATAGGTGGCACACTAATACGAATTCCGTATCCGGCTTGCACCAACCACAGTGCTGACTTGAAATATCCTCAGTGGTAGACGGATCATGGGTTAGAGTCCCTTTGCCGTCAGGCTAACCATGGGAGGTTCTCGTGGTCTTCCTCTCCATGTAACGCAAATACGGGTTAGTTTCATCAAAAAGTCCTCCACAGAGGCAAATTTTACCCAATGCTTGATCCAGGAGTACCCTTGTCTTCTGGATTGGGTTCAAAATTACAAGGCTACGGAGTTGAACATTAGTAGTCGTAAACCCAAAAAAATTGGGTCGGCTGTTCAACGACGGTTATAAAATAAAATAAATTATACATACTTACAAAGTAAGAAAATTTTTTTTGTTTGTTGCAAATCTGTGCACGTTATTTTTTGTTAGATTGCAAGGTGTACTTGCATATAAAATACTGGTATGTTAATAAACTTTTTTTTAAAATGCTTTGGTTAAAAAATTTTTTTAAAATATATTTCTATAAAAAGAACAAGATTTAAATTTTTATATCAATTTTTAACTGGAAGGTTGGGAGTGAATATTAATTATTTAAGAGTTGCTGGTTGCCCCAACCCCATTTTTAAGAGAACAAAAATAAAAATTTTGCAAAACTTTAAGATTTATAGTTTTGTATAAAGGTTTTCTCAAATACTTCTCTATTTCACTGCTTTAAAAAATTGCAAAAATAAATAAAAATAAGATATTCAAAAGGACACAAAGATACGTTATTCATTATTGGAAGTCCATGTTAAAACTTTTGATGACTTTCCATTGATGGACCAACATAATCTTGATGGTAAACTTTAATAATTCCATCATGAACCATTATATTTTTGATGGTAACAAAAATAAGTAATCATCACCCCAATGTAGGAATTCGGACTGATTTATGATGGTCCAACATAAGAATAGCAACTTGTTTTGATGATTTGTTCATGTTAAACCATCAGAAGTTTCCATCATAGTTTCTTAGAAATCAAATGTTGGAATCATCATGAACTCCCATCATGCCTACGTATAAATTCGGATTGACTTTTGATGGGCCAACATAGAAAAGCAAACTAATTGTCTTGATGGTATATTCCTGAGAACCAACAAGAATAGTTGGAACCATCATGGATTTTATTGCTGCATGAGAATCAAGCTTCTCTTGATGGTTAAACATATAGTATTAAAGGAGCATTTTCCACCATGGAATGAAGGAAGTTTGCTGGAATACCAAAAACGGGAAAATGTTGGATGACGGTGACCATCAAATCACGTTGGACCATCATGAATCGCACCGAAACCAACATGAACTATCAAAATGATTTGATAGGATCATCAAGAATTTTCACTTGGGGGAGCACTTTGATTTATTATTAATGTAGCAAAAAGATTTCTACTTGTTCTTCTCATATATATATATATTTTAATAAAACAAAACAAAAAGCAGACTCATTAGAAACCACTGATTCCTTGAAAGAAAGAAATAGCTGTATTGTCTAAACCAACAACACATTTCGTTAACCTACTTTTATAAAAGGATCTTTCTTAAATCCAAAAAGTATAGACTTTTTAAAATTTATAAAAAAAAAATTATTATAAATTTTAAACTATCTCTGATATAGCATATTAATTAACGTATTGTTAAACCATCATTGATAATGGCAAAAAGTAAAAGATTAAAATTGTTCAACGTTCTTGAAAATACAATAAAAATTAATATCATGTTTGGATTTAATAATAATAAAAAAAAAGAAATATATGAATAGCAATTGCATATGTTGTATTTAATTATTGACATTTTGACTGCATAGATTCAGATTGAAGGTACAACATAAGGGGGAAAAAATAAATTAAAACTGATTTTAGGCTACCTAGATAAAACTAAATTATTTAATTTGAAAAAGAATTGAATAGTAATATTGATTCAGACTAAAATGATAAATAGTTCAATTATAGTTACTTACGTTTATTATTGAAAACTTCTTAATTAAATACCTTTAACATGCCAGCAAAAAGGTTTGCTAGGCCAATTTTTAGGTTCACGACTTACAAGTTCAATTTCGTATCCTTGTGATTTTGAATCCAACCCAGAAGAAAAGGGAACTCCTGGATCAAGTATTGCAAGAAATTTGCCTTCGCTGAGGACTTTCTGATGGAAGTAACCTGCATTTGCATTACATGGAGAGGAAATTCCTGAAAATCTCCCACAGTAATGGCAAGAGGACTCTAACACATGAACCGTCTACTACTGAGGATATTTTACATCAGCATTGTGGTTAAAATAGATTTTTTAATAGAGCCCTTGATTGCAATTATTGTGGAGAAATACAAAGCATTGATCATTTAATTTTATACTGTCCACGCTTCCGAACGCTCCGTGGAGAACATTTAACAAATTTTAATCAAATTCAATGTTTTGCTAATTCGACTTGCAGGGGTATTATTAAATGTATCATAAAAAAGACACTTGAAGATATTTTGGGTGATGACACTTAAGGAATCGAAACCCCCGCACTCCAAATTGGGTGTCTCAAGCTTTTACTACACTTTTTATGTACTTTTATTGTTAATTTGATTGGTTTTATCCATGTGTGACTTGGTTATGAGTCATGTTTTTAACTGCTAGTTTTTCTTTCCAATTTGTTCTTAATGTAATATTTTACTTTACTTATTCCTTTTATATGATCGGTTTTATCCATGTTTGACATGGTTTTGGGACACGTTTTAACTGTAAATTTTATTCCATTTTGTTCCTTATGTAATCTTTTACTTTTATGCGTTGCTTTTACCAAGCACGATATGGGTGTTTTATTCATTTTTATGTATATATTGTTTTTACTCTTTTAATTATGATCTTTGTGATTTTCCCTGTGTTGGCTGGATTTAGAGTCATGTTTTTAACTGTTGGTCGCTTGTGTCTTTTTATACTGTTGTTGATATAATTTCTGATGTTTTATGTATCTACTCTCGTATGCCCTTAAATAAGGCAGGTCGAGATACAAATAAACAATCAGCATTGTGGTCGGTGCAAGCCGGGTGCTGGAACTCGTATCGACCAGCCATCACCGGGATTCAAATCGGGTTCACCTCATTGGAAGGCAAACAATCTATCCCCTGAGCTATCACATCTCGCAAAACATAGTTTTTAAAAAAATTTTTATATTATTTTTATAACCACTGTTGAACAGCCTACCAAATTCTGGGTTTACGACTACCTATGTGCAACTCTGCATCCTTGTAATTTTGATCCCAATCCAGAAGGCAAGGGAGTTCCTGGATCAGTACCCCCAGAGTTACTGATTTGTGATGGGAACTTGGAGGACTTTGTGACCCTAACAGATTTAACGTGCATCAGTCACCATTTACTACACAGGGAGTCTTCGGCCGGTGAAGATCGAATACATGACCTCTCGAACATGGGCCTATAGCCCAACCAATCAGGCCATCCCGGCGACTGCAAAAGATGTTGTTGTAGCTGAAAGTCCAATAAGAAAATTTTTTTTCATCAGCCTAGCTTTTGAAATTACGCTGTTAGTGGTTGCCGCCCATTGGTTCATGGAACACTGGGTGAATTCACCTCATGAAGTTTCCAAAGCTTAAAACAAAACTCTTCTGATAACAAATCTCAGCTTAAAGGAGAGAAGTTTCGTTAATTAATTAAAGTGCCATAAAACTGGAGTTTAATTAAAGAGCCTAGTAATTAATATATATACTTAATATATAATATATATATATATACTTATAATATATATACTTAATATATATAAAAGGTAAGCAGATAAATTGAGCTGTGAATATGATAGAAATTTTTTTTGACAAATTCATATACACACAGTAGCAACAAGGCTAACACAATAGTATACAAGCAAGCTTGAATAGTACATTTGATAATTTGGCAGCAGGGTCTATTATTTGTTATATGTTTACTCTTTAACAGGTTCGCTGCCACCGACGCAGTAGCGCGACACCTCCTGGCATGCCGACGACGCGCTAGCGCCGTCGGCATGCCAAGCTATAATAAGTTATATGCTCTGTGATTAGTGTGGCTTTGGGAGTTGAACGGAGAGGTTGTTTCGGCACGTTAGTGAAGCATTATTTTTTTATTTCTTGTGGTTGGTTTTCAAAACTTTTGTTTGAATTTTTTTATGTGCTTGACTGCCAATATCTGTATATTGTGCTTATTATTTGTAAATATTCTCAGTATTGTTTCATAAATGGTACAAAATATACTTGAATGGTATTTTTTTTATTCCTTTTAAGCTGCTATTTAATGAAATATGCCAGTAATTTCTAAGAATATTGATCAGACGTGCTGGAGCGTCAGTGGCACTCATGAAGACAGGTTGAGTCTGTGTGCCACTGACGCCTCCAGAGCGTCGTGAAAAAACGCTCTCTAAACAGGAAAATAATATGTTTCTTCGTTTTTCTAGTTTTCCTACTAAAATGTAAGGAACATTAAAACCGTAGTTTTGTAATCCGGCTTCTGCGGATGGAAATATCATTTTTAGTGGCAGCGAATGTGTTAATACACTCTTCTCTTATTCATTACAAATGCAAGTTTTTTTCCTTCCTCCAAATTGTATGTATATCCGGATAATACAAATTCAGGGCTGCTCCCAGTTAATCGAGTAAAGTTTTCATAAAAATTATTCTTTCATCATACTTTGAAATTATGTAAGTTAAAAATATGGAGAAAACATCGAAAAGATGTAAAGATTGTTTTTAAAAAAGAAGTAAAAATATTAATTAAAAAAAAATATATACAGTGAAACCTCCGTTAAGCGGACATTCATGGGACCAAAGAATTTGTCCGTTTATGAGAGTTGTCCGTTTACGGGAAGGGTACCCTAATTACGAAATTTAACACCCTAAATTTTTTTTAGAATATTCTCAAAGATGTAGAAATAATTAAATAATATCTACAAGGATACTGTAAATATCTACAAGAATATTGATTTAAACAATAAAAAAGATAAAAAAGAATATATAAAGAAGTTTGATATAAATACATAATTCTGGATGCAGCTACAGATAAATAAATATAATTTTCCTATTAGCATAGATACTCAAGTTAGACATATGATACCAAATAGGAGCGTACTGTCCTCAGTCCGTTTCAATTATTAGGTTCACATCCCCTTACACCTACTTATCATTTGATAGGGAACATGGTTAATACCTTTTTGGAAAATAAACCTCCCATGATTCACAGAAAAAAAAAGTAATGCATACCTGTAAGTCATGAGGACCTATGGAGATGATTATTCACAATTGATCAGCTATCAAGTGTCTGAATAAATGTTTCATTTATATAAACACCTCAAAGATTATACTTCTGTTCTCTTTTTTTTTTACCCCAGTTGTGTTAAATACAGTCTTCAAATTGATAAGAAAATTAAAGAAATTTTCAATGGGGAAGAAGCATTGAGAGAAGTCATTTCAACTTGAGGGGTCGCATAACCCGTGTGGTCCAGATGAAAAGATCAAAAGATGCCGATGTCAGAATTATTTCAGGAGTGCAGTACCATTTTCTCTCCTTTCTTTACAAAGATAAGACAAGATGACAGGAGAAAGATTGATTTTTCGGTGGTGAAATAGCTTAACAATATTTTTAGTTATGGATAAGGCAAAAAGTTTTATTTACATGCTTTAAAAATAGTGAAAAGTTGCATTTTTTTAGCTTGCAATTTATTTGGAAAAAGTAGTGTCCGGTTTGTAGAGATAAAAAACAACGTTTCAGGACCAAAATGACTGCCCGCGTCCGGTTACGGAAGTGTCCGCTTTGCGGAGAATGTACGTAATGGTTTATTCTTAGAAGATTCCCGGGGAATTAAAAATATGTCCGTATTGAGAGGCGTCCGTTTTGCAGGAGTGTCCATAACAGGAGGTTTCACTGTACATGCAAAAATTTAAAATAAATAAAACAGAAAACAAAATAAGGAAAAGATATAATCTCATCATCAGACCACATGATTACAAAAAAAAAAAAAAAAAAANAAAAAAAAAAAAAAAAAAAGCCATATTAATACAATATTAAAATGCACCTTTTTTTAATATAATCGTGTGAACTGATGACAAGATTGCATCTTTTCCTTATTTTGTTTACTGTTGTTTTTTTTTTTAGATTTTTGAATATTTTTTCTTCTCCTTTAAAAAAAATCTTGACATCTTTTTTCTATATTTAGAATTCATTTTTTAAGTTCTATATAATTGTAGCTTATAAACAATAAAAAGCACTTATTTTTCTTTGTCAATCTCACTCTCTTTTTTATCCTTTTTGTCTTTATTGTGTTATATATATACATAGTTACAAATTTGTAAGTAATATATTTAGATAGTTTCGTAAATATTCTTTTGTGATGAGGCAAAATATATCTCAGGCGGGCCCTAAATAAGGAGTTTAATTAGGAAATTTCCAAGAAAGGTACAGAATTGTAACATAATGTAGAAGGAAAATAACGCCTAACGTATTTCTTATGGAAGATTTCTCGGGGATAATCTTGACCACAAAATGATTATTCTGGAAACTTCAAGTATCAAAACGATAGGACCAATATTTAGAGTTATACGAGAATCGTTCAGAATTGTATCGAAAATTCCGGGGTTTTGACGCCGATCCTAGATAAATCTAAGTGTGCCTCTCAGAGTAGAGTATTAGTCTGCTTATGACTGCAATAGTGTTCTAACCTGCAAGTCTCTAGTGAATTCAATGAACCGTCTGAGGCTTTGAAGCCTGTGTTTTGCTGTATTATGCTGTTCTCTAAGCTGTGATTGAGTTCTAAAAATAGCTGTATTTTCTGGAAGATTCTGCTTATAAATTTTTGAAGACTTAAGGACTGTTTCATTCATCTTCAATTAAAACGAACCCCTGTGTTAGGTACGACAAAATATATATGTGTGTGTTTATACATATATACAGGGCTCCAAGAGTTTGAAAAATACAGTAACCAATAAAAATATTATACATAAAAATTGAATATTTGCATTTGATCTTATAACAAAATGAATGAAATATTTATCTGTGTGTAGTCTATTTTTGCAACTTAATATGAATATTATCTGAGGATTTGCAGACAGGGTTCCTACTCAATTTTCAAAAAAATTCCAAGGACCTAAATTCAAATTTTTCAAGGACCTACTTAGGAGGGGAAAATGATGTATTCCCATTTCACCTTCAAGAATTTACTCATTGGAGCTTTTTGAAAATTGCGTTAATACAAAATTTCTTTACCACCTCATATTTGATAGCATTATAAATTGCATATATCAAAATTTACTAGATTTTAATGATTGGAAAAGGAGAAAATATCAGATTATGGGTATTATTTAGGTAGAATTTGAATATCAGAAGCTCTACGAATTGAAATGAAACTTTTATTTTCACACATTAGCAAATAAAATAAAAAGTTTCAAAAATCGCACGTTTTAAAATGAGTGCATGCGGCATGTGGTTAAAACAAGGCTAATACTAGACATGGTTTCGTTTAATGTTTTCCTTTCCCTGTTGGTTTTCCCACACCCTAGTGGTATTTTGTAATCCAATCACAGGAGAGGGGTAAAAAAGGATAAGGGTCTTTTCTAAATTTAGATCAGACTAGAAAATTAGGTGATACTAAGCTGACCTTCTATTCTTCAATAAAGAAAACTGCGAAAAGAGAGAGGACTGATCAAATTTTTATCATTTTGCTTGAAGATTCCTTCTTTTAAATGCTTTTTTCGTAGAAAATATTATTATTTTTGAAAATTACTCCGAGAAAAACAAAAACTATTTAAAGACCCCATCACATAATTCAAGAACTTTTTGGGGCCCTGATTTTTTTTAAATGAAATTCAAGGACTTTCAAGTACTATGGGAATTCTGTTACACATAATAAGGTTCAGTACAGCGATTTTTAACATGGAATTTATAACTTGGGATGAACTTTGGGAAAAATCCACAATGACAGAGAAGTTTCTTTTCAGTTTAATGTTTCTTTCATGGATGCTGTGAGGCGAGCAGTTATCGACAATGCCAACCTTCATCTATCTAAAGATAACGCAAGATAGATTCAAGTTAACACGTCTTTCATACTAGTGATTTTATGTTTAATAATCATGGTGGTAGTTACACCACAGATGCAATTTCACATTTCATACCTGCTGGAGACATTTGTAACCAAAATATCCAGGTTGGCAGTCACATTTAGCAGATCCAGGTCCCAGGCGAAGACATTTGGCATTTAAACCAGTTCCACAGAAAACTATAAAATAAATATAACCATTGATTTTGCAGGGTGCATAGCCAAATCTTTCAACAATAAATAAGCACTTAAAAAATATTTTTAAGCATTATATACATTAACAAAATGCAAAATAATTTTCAAAGATTTTAAATGATCATGATAAAATAACTAGTTTTTCATAAAGAACTCTTTTTCTTGATTGAATTAGCCACCATAAGAAGATAGAGCGATTTATTCGGTTCGATTTCAGAGGGAAGAAAATGAAACCTGAAATTGAGAATCTCTTTCAAAATGCAGCAGAGTTGCACTAGATAGTGCAAGAATTCTCACTGAATCCAGTTCAGTATGCGCACATGCGGACCTGCAAGCATTTCATCAAACAAAATGATTGGCGCTTTCATACGCTACGGAGCAAAGGAATGCATTGTGTTTGAATGATTTGTGAAAATTTTGAATCGAACAATATGAAAACCACACTTTGCACATGGTGAAAATCGACATGGAAAGTAAAAAAAATTTCATTTTCGAAAAGGGGAAACAAAGCACTTTTTAAAAACACCCAATAAAAAAAGCACCTTTAAGGGTTATTAAAAAAGTAATGGCTTTGGGTAGGTTTTATTGTACTCAATTGCGAAAAATACTGAAGGTAATTTTAATTTCTTAAGGAAATCATTAACTTTTTTTTCATCTCAATTTCTGCTTTTTAGTTTCCACATAATAAAGAAATGATGCATGAAATAGCTTCAAATTTAATACCATGACTACTTAATCTAGGCTGTATTTATAAACTATTTAAAAAATTGTTTTAATATTTCCATTTGAAGATATGAAGAATTTATTTCATATCTTCCATTTTGGGTAAAAAGAGACCCATTTCTCCCAAGGCAGATTTTTCCAATGTAGAAAAAACTAGTGATCCAAGAGAGGAGACATATCATGGAGAAATACAGTCGAACTTATATTTAACAAAATTCCATCTTGAGATTTTTTTCGAGGAACCAAGAACATTTTGGAAATTTCTTCGTAAAATAACTTCGAAATAGAAAAATGAATTTTCCACTTAATGAGCTTTTCTTTAAAATCCACTTTCCCTATTTCCTAAAATATTTCAGAACATTTCATACAGGAATCCATGCCAAAAATCATTCTATAAGAAAGCATAATAGAAATTTCTAAAGCTGGATTCTTAGTCAGCGCGGAGGACAAGGATGACATTTCTTTAGAAGAACTTAAAAAAATGTGGGTACAGCTTTGAGAGAACCACGAAACTAACAATGATTTAAGGATAAATGATTTTCTTTTTATTGATTCTGAAGCTGCAACCACAGAAACATTAACTGAATCGAATATTTTCAACAGTGTGAAAAAATACAATGCAGCAATAAATTGTAAGGAAGACTAAGAAGTTGAAGAAATCACCAAACGATGATATGTTAAAATCATTTGAAACAATTTGATAGTAGATACTAGTTTACAAGATAAAGGTGTATCTGCTATTTTAATTATGCCTAGTGTTTATGAATTAAAAACCTGTTTTGTTTTGTTTAAGTATTTCAAATAGTGATTTTCTATTTAACGAATTTTTCATATAACTAACTTTTTATCGTGATTTAGCGACTTTGTTAAATAGAGGTCCAACTGTAAAGCTTTAGAAGTCTTTACTTTTCTTCACATGAGGGTAGGTCTTTATTGCTACTTTTTTTTCCTTCTTTAACCTAGTTCTGAAGGAACTTAAATATGGCACAATTAAACAAAAATAAAAAAAGAGAGGGCATAATCAGACATTTTTAAAGACACTTACTATTCATATGTTTTATGGATTCACAATAGTCAAGTTGATCCTTACAATATGTTTCTGTTTTTTCAGTATATGTGTGATTCCAAGCAGCATCTCCACCTGGACAGGGTATATGAGCTTCTAAATATCTAAATTAGAGAAACTTTTTTTACATGCATTTAATAATAGTCAGAAAAAAGAAAGATATTTTAAAGAAATCATAGGCACTCTTTTGTTTCAGAAAAAGTCAAGGATCTATATTGATTAGAGTGGAGCAAAAAAAAAAAGTTTCAGATAATTAAAAAGCAGCCAAAAGTTGTGGACTAGTATATCACTCCTGAGTTTTAAGTTCTATTGTTATTTATTTCCCACAAAAACCTTGAAAATTTAAAATGTTTAAAAAAAAAAAAAATTGAAAACTAAGCCAATTTTCAAAAGTGTTCTGATAAAAATAAATTTTTTCTCAAAAGTTGTGCATTGAATGAAATATTGCTTGCAAATTTTTTGTACAATATTTTCATTCTCTGAAACAGAGGTAAAATTTTATGAAAAAATACACAATTTTAAAATATTACTGGTTTTAATATAATTTTAATATATGATAAAATTTTAATTTATTACTATATAGTAATAAATAATTTCAGTAAATGTGCAAAGATTGCATAATTACTGAAATATTACTAATGAATTCTTTCAAAATCTTTTAGCTTCATTTTTTTTTAATTCAGTACTAACACTAAATTGATTTTTTTTTTATTTTAAAGATGAGAGGGAGATGTACCAAATATAAATAGTTCCTGGTTTTTGAATAATATATGTTCTACTTTAGATCTGCGATGAAACGATGGATATTTTTCCTCCTCCACTGTCCTTCCTTCCTACAAAGTAATTACTTTGAAGCTTGATTTTTACTTTTCTGCAATTTGATTAAGTTTTCTGCAATTTGATTAAGTTAAATGTAAACTTCACATTTATTTACGATGATTGGAGAATCTTTACAATTCATAACTTCAAAATATCTTTCATTCTTTTCAGTATTTTTTCTGCCAAAATAATATAGTAATGCTGAGATGAGGGCAGGAGCAGGTCTGTTCCAGAAAAATGTCATATGTTCTAGCAATTATTACGCTTTTAGGTGTGACTGAGGTTGAAGGCGATGAAGATGATACTTTAAGTACTACTTTGACATCAAATTTGGATTTTTTAGGAGTTTTTTTGATTTTCCTTTGAAAACATCAATTTTTTTGGGAATTAATACTGGACATGGGCACATTTTTTTCTGAGACTGCACAATTTTAAAAAATTCTTGCAAAAAGTTTTGCACAATGTAGTACTGGAATTTAGGTTTGACACCAAATTTCTTTGTTTTTGACAGCAACTTTTTTTTCACAAATTTCATTGACTTTTGCTTTGTACTGTTTGTTATTATTCATTCCTCTGTACTGAAATCCAATTGCAGCATAACACATCTTCCAATTGTAACATCACAAGACATCTTCTCGTGTAGGGTGTAATATATATTCTCTTAAACTGCCAACAAAAGAACATTTTATCTTGAGTTGAAGACATATTTTACCTATTCAGCTAACCTGCTCTATAGAACAGATGTAACAAATAACTGCAAAAAGGGAAGTTGAAATCTTCACGTGCGTATAATCTATCTTCTGAGAAAAAGGGAAATCCTTCGCTAGCTTAAGAAACCATATTTAGAGCACTTCTCAAGTGGGAAATATAATCTAATAAATCTTCATAGGGAAAGTGGATCTCAAAGAAAAGCTTGTTAAATAGAAAATTCACTTCACTATTTGGAAGTTATTTTATGAAGAAATTTGCAAAATGTTCTTGGTTCCTCAAGACAAATTGCAAAATAGAGTAATTAGCAACATTAAAGTTTGTTAAATAGAAGTCAGAATGTAATTATTGGATCATTCGCAATTTTCTTACAGATATGTACATATAGAACCTTACACCTAGAATAATGGAAAAGGACATAATGGTATTTTGGAGGTATAAGGTACCTAAGTTTCACAGAAAAAAGCAATAGTATTTAAATGCATCTATAATAATTATTTTTACAGAAAAGAAAACTCAATTACCGTAATTTCGGGTGTATGGTCCGTGGACTATCTGTGTTTAAAATGCGAATTTTTGAAGCTGCGGACTATCCACCAGTGCGGATAATACACTGGTTGTTCATGGTTAAAATCGTTGAAATTTAAAAAACACGCTGTCGTGAACTGCCGATGATCAAATATAAACAACAGCGCGAGACCTTTCTTTGAATCACTTTCTGGAGACCACTATCCACAAGAGAACTAAGTCTCTCTTTCCCTTCTGCCATATGAACAGCTATTGAGTGTAGGAAATGGGCATGGAGTGGAGAAGCATAAATCAGAAAGGAAAGAATGAAGGAAATCAGGGTGGGGCCAGTGATAATGTCAACTGTAAAACAAACCCCCCCCCCCCCCCGCTTTTTTCAGGAAATATGCCTCTTCCACTTGTCATGAATGCCTCTCTCCACTACCCTTCTTTCTTCAGCTGCTTGTTAAAAACATGTGAATGTTTGATGAATAAAGGGTGGTGATGAGCTTGGAATAACCTTGAATAATCTTACAATTAAAATGTTCCCGAAGAATTTCAAACTTTCAACTGAGGGTCAGTGAAGAGGGGAAAAAGCAAAGTGTGTGAGAATTTTAGACAGGGGATAAAAGAAAGACCATCCTAGGCGGAGTTATTTAAAAAAAAAAAAAAAAAACCTGATTTGAGAAACAAAAATAGAGGGAGGAATTGCTAAAAATAGAAAATTGTTTTAAATGCTTGGGAGAGCGTTTTTTATTTATTTCTTGTTTTTCTCATTGCTTATATTTCTGTCTGATTTCGATCATCTTCCTCAACTTATTATTATTTTTTTTAAAATCGTTTTATCTTCAATTCTGATGCGTTTTTGTTTTATTAATATTTTTTTTTGATAATATTTTTGTTTAGTTTATACTATTTTAGTTTTGTTTTAACATATTCACATTTCATTACCACTTATCACGAGGATAGCACATTGCAGAGTATTTTGTTTTCGTATCTTGTCTTTCATCTTCGACAACGTTGACCTTGAAGGTTTTCGTTAATGTAGTAGAATGTGTAATTAATTAAAATATGATTAATTAGTAAGCACTGCTTTTTATTTGTATTTAGCGTTTTATTTCTGAAGGTATATTAGTAAGTACTTTTTTCTATTAATACTTAGTTCTTTGTTTCTAAAATACATTAATGTTTCCGTATTAAAGTAACGTAATTTCGGACGCATAGTCCGCGGACTATCCGGTGGTGTGGACTATCCGGTGATTTTTGAAATTCTTTAAATATAAAATCGGGTCTGCGGACAATACGTGCGAAATTACGGTATCTCTGATGTCAATGCATCAGTATTGTAGAAAAGTCAGTGTTTTGCTCAATCTAATATTTTCTTTAACAAAATGGAATAAAATATCATAGAATTTTGATGATGGAGTCTCTAATATATTTTTTTGCTAAATTATTTATCATTATATTTTAAGACTTCAGGTGTCTAATTGATCTACACTAGGGATTCTAAACCTGCAGGGCTATATGCAGCCCTCCAGATTTTGATCTGCAGCTCCTGGCTGTAACTGGACCTAATAAAAAATCTAGTTTTCTTTCTTTTTAGAATTTTGTCCATTTTGCGTAAATTCTATCTTAAATCAATATAATTTTTCTATCACTATGGATTTTCAGAGATTTTTCAAAACCTTATTATTTATGTTATGACATTATTACTATACATTTTATCATAAATCTAAGTGACTTTTCGATTGTTTGTTGGCAGTTATTGCTGTAGGTATCCATATGGATTTTAAAATTCCATTTTAATATGTTTTAATGTATTTCAGATTATTACTTCTTTAAAAAAATTGTATTTTTTATACAAATTTGCAATTTCAGTTATAGTTACTCCTTCTTAATTTTAGATCAATTGTACAAATATAAGTGATAAAAAAAGTTCAAAATTAAAACTTTCACAAAATTAAAAAGTTAAATTTTTATTGGATTTTTGGATGAAAAGTTTTTTGGTGACATTCACAAGATGCACAGAAAAAAAAAAAAAAAATTAAACATGTCATTTAAAAAATATCACCAAGGCAGATTTCTACCCATTTCTAAAAGCAATTAAGATGAAATATAAAAATTCTATTTTAAAATGAAAAATAAATAATATTTAATATGATTTTAAGTAATTAACAATGGTGTAATAAAATGAAAAATTGTTGCTTACCTAATTTATTATCATATTTGTCCTTTTTTATAATTACTGTCCCGGTATACAAAAACAAATTTTAAAATAACAAACAAGAGTTTTGGCTTTATATTATAATGTGTTGGCTTACAAAATCTGGTCTTAATGTAATATAAAAGATGCAAACATGTTTTTAAAATGAAGTAAAAATTCAAATGAAAATTCTTAATGTCTTCAAAATTCTAGATATTAATTCTTAAAAAATATTAATTAAATTATTAATTAAACATTATTCAAAATTCTTTCCCATATTTACTTATTATTGATCCATAGAAAAAAATATTTTCGCAATGTGTTTTTAAAGCATCTATGTGTCATAAGGGACAGTAATTACATTTTCAGAAGCAATTACTATTTAAAACTGTCATTGAACTTTTTATTTTCCAGTTCTTCAATGCTGGTCATTGATTTGTATATAATGAAAATAAATTTAAATGTAAGGGTCTGATTATGAGACGAATTTTTCTTAATTATTATAAACAAATGCTAACGTTCTTAAAATAAATTTATCCGTAAGTATACTCTTTTGGCACTTTTAGATTTCCCCTTCTCCCTTGTCATAAAAGAGAAAAATTACAACACCCCTTGTTTCTGTTTTAACTTTGACTGTAATGAAACCTTAGCTGTAACTTTATATAAAACAAAATTTAAATTTTAATTCATTTTATTAATTTTTTTTCACCTTTTAATTTTGCTAAATCTAATCAGTATAATAAAATTTGAAATTTTTGCAAGCTAAATATATCTTGTTTCAATTTTAACAAAAACTGCATTGCTAATAAGTACTTGTCAGGAAAAAAAAGAAGAAAAAAAAGAAGAAAAAAGCAAATCACAAACCCTTTTATCTTAAGGCGCTTGCGTGATAGTTCGATAGCTCCTGAAAGGTTTTTAACAGCCTCCAAAATGTAATAATACCAAAGCACAATAAAAACCACAAAAAAAAAAAAAAAAAAAACACTCAGGACACAAGCTATTTTTGCTTTACAAGCTATATTATATAATTCAAATAATATTAACAATAAAAATAGTAGTAGATATAAATACTCACAAGTCATTTAATTTTAGCAATCCTAAAAGCTCATCAGCAGTAAATTTATCATAATCATTCTCTCTTAGATCTCTAAAAATGTAAAATAATGTGATAAATACATATTTAGTAACATTCATAGATCTCTAAAAACACATAATATGATATCTAATGTATATAAATGCCATCTTTTAGAAAGACCCCCATTACAGCAAGCCTTCCATTATAACAACTAATACATGAAAGTCTAATTTTTCCTTGATTACTTGAACTAGAGTGCCAAAATGTTTAATTTCAACAATACAAAAGTATCACACACGCACATGCACTTAAACCAGAGTTGGCAAGTTTTTGACAATTGACGGTTTAAACCACCATGTGAAAAAAAAAAATTTCGGGTAACAATAATTATAAGCTATTATAAATATGAAGCATTTATAAATAAACATACATACAAGTGTTTAATCAATTATGCTTTTGAATTATTTTGACATTAAACTTTTTCAGTTTTGACAATTACCAACATAAAGTCAAATTTTGGTGTAGAAAATATTAAAGAATTATAAATAAGAATGTGCAAAATTGCAACTTATATTTGTTTAATTAATGAAAATAAAAATACAAAAAAAATCATCTTATATATATATATATTATATATATATATTTATAAAGCACATAACAATCATCTCATTCATTATTTGTAAAAGCAATTTTCAATTAATCACATTTTAACTTATTTTTTCCCCAAAGCACATGATTACGAAAAAATAGTTTTGAAGTTCTCTGAATTCTAAGTTCCTTTTTTTCAATTTTGTATAAATTAAACTGAAATTCAAAACCATTTGTTTGATTGATGCTCAGTTGCATAGATTAGAATGCAAACATACTAAAACTATTATAACATAATAAAATAATATGCAATTAGGAAATTTATTCTGATAACTGTACTAAATGTTGAATAGTAACCTTATTAAATTTTTGATTGATTGAAAAAATTATTAAATCATTGAAACAAACATTTATAGTTTTTGTAAATTATAATTAGTTTACTTTACTTGTCAGGGAATATATTATAGTCATGATTTATTGGAAATATTCATGTACAGTATGCAAAATAAAAAAGATATCCTGAATAACTTTCATTCTAATGATCAGATTTTCATGTACTTACAAGGGAAACTAGGGAAGTGTGACTCGCCAATTTTGAAATAAACTAGTGGGATGTATGCAGGTGACGAACCTCCTAATGTT